GCGCTTACTTTATTGTCATGATCACATTATGGTAGGACTTGCATGGTAGTATGCTTTCTTGATGGCCTTTATCTTGACGCAACCTTACCCCTGCTCACCCTACTGTTAGGCTAGTCACACGCTTGCTAATATATTTCATTGCTTACTACTTCTACTACGCTTGCACTATATGGAGGCGTGGTGGAAACTGGTGTTATCTGGACTATGGGGAGAGTGCTGCGTGTGTGACTTGGGTGCATAGAGGGTGAGGGTTGTGTCGACCAAGTTGGAGTATACGACGAGCCTGGGGCAAGTCTTGCCGTGGGGTGCTACCTGGGCACCCCTGGAATGGATACCTGTGGTGGGTAAGTGGTATATGAGGTGGCCTTGGGTGTGATCCTATGATGGGAGGAGCCCAGGGTGGAGGTGCTGTGGTGGCACAGTAAATGGAAACCCTGATGAAGACATTCTGGCTTGGTCAACCCTAAGGACTTACTAGTACTCAGACTCACTGGGAAGCCTTACGTACCACTCGCCCTATATGGTGCGGGACAGCCGGACTACTTGGTAGGATATTGCCACTACTGCTAGGTTGTTAGCGGACAGTGTAAGGAGGTACGGGGTGCGGAGGATTTCCCCCACACCCTTCCGAGACTTCATGGAGACCTTGTGGACCCGGCTCATGACTCACAGTTTCAGCCACCCCAGACCGGACTTGGGGTGTACCAGGGCTGAATGGTAGAGTGGCATTATCCTAGGCTAGCAAGCGGCCGGAATCAGCCTAGTTGACGACGGTCAGCGAGGAAGGTGGATCTTGTGGTTATGTAAAACCTCTACAGAGTGTATGGTTGATCGATCGATACATATGCCGACTTGTCGGCTATGGACCTTTCCTGGGTTTCGCTTAAACTAGATAGTGAGATGAGTCTTTCTTTTCTCCCCCTGGGATGAGTGTTCGGGCGTAGCCAGGGGCTACGGACCTTGAGACAGTGCCGAGTGGGAGTTGGCCTGTCGACTGAGCGATGGTACGGCTGTGGTATGGTGATGGTGTGGAGATGGTGGTTTATCGATCCCAGGATCGAAACCTAGCTCTGGAATGGGAATGGGGTGGAATGTGTGTGAGTGGTGTTAAAAACTTGACCAACTATTATTATATACTTTGTATGCTAATGCATAGGAAACCCCAGCCTTTTAGGTTCCTCTTGATTATAACCAATTTGCATCCAATTTCCACAAAGCAATGCTCATAGGGTTGGGAGTGGCCAGTACAAATCGTACTGATAAATTTTGGCACACAGGTTCTGCTGAGGAGTATAGCTCCGAGGAGTTTGACGGTTGAGGGGTTCGTTCCTACGCTCGAGTTTGGCGATCTTATCTTCAAGCTGTTCTGAATGAATGCTACTTTTGATTCCGCCAATACGGCGATGTAATAAATTATGTAATTCCGCACTATTTGTACTCTGATATTATCGTTATATGGATGTGATATTCGACTGGAATTTGGGTAATATGATCTACAACGGTCTTATTACACTTTGACTCTGTGGATTTCCCTTTGTGGAAATCGGGGTTGTTTCAACTACACAGGCGGTTGATGTGCCCATACGACGGTGATGATAGCCTCCACATAGGCAGATCATTTGTCAATGCGGCGGAGTTAGTGTATACCCACAGACGGTTCGTGCTCCAATGCGACGGAAGTAAGGACCTTATCAAAGATGGATCATAAGCCAATACAGCGGTGTAGTGCACACCACAGTCGGTCTCAGATGCTGACAGTGAGGGCTATGACCATCACTGCCGATAGCTTACTGTCGAGGCCGAAATGCCGCTGCGATGGGGTTACAACGTGGCTGTGAAAAGTCTGAGTGTAGTAGTGCAAGGTAGTTCATGAAGAGCAATAAGAATGGATCATTGTTGCAAAAACACAATCAGCACAGTTGTTAGGTACTTTGATATTTCAATACACACCTCACATTGTCAACAATCCAAAAAATTGTACATCAGATTAAGAGAATTTGAACCTACTGAGCTCGAATTGTCAACACCAATTTACAACGTGGGAAAACAATGAACCACCATCCCAAAAAAACCAACAACCTATTGACTCGATCAAGCACCTGAGATGCTCTCCACTCAAGACCAAGTGATTCCATTAACCACCTCACACACATCTGCAAACTGAACAAGAGACACAATCATAGCCAGAGTAGATCATGTCAGAAGAACGTGGGGAAAGGAGGGCAGCGTACTAACCAACCTGCCCCTCGTGTGTGGTAAGCACCTTCGCCGTGTGTCCCCTATGGGGGCCGCTACTAATGTCATGGTTTTCCCACCTCCATGCATAGCCCCTAATGCCCTCCTCGCCTTCAACTGCCAGAGCATCCCCTTCGTGGTTGATGCCGGTGTTGGAGGTGGTGCCACCACCTGTCTCCTCCCTGCACTCCAGCTTATGACGAAGAAGGAGGCAGGAGAGGAAGAGGGAGATTGGGAGAGAGTTGAGGGCCTCACCTCAATGATGTCATGCCACCAAGATCTTCCCGTGCGAGCGTGGCCGCCATCCATGCCGCAATGAGCTAGCCTCGCCACCGCCCAATCTGGCCCCACCAGATTCAACGACGCCACACCTTCCTCTGACTAGATCGAGATACCCACCATGGAAAATGCTCCGGTGAGGATGGCAGTGGCACTTGGCGGCGAACAGGGGTGTCTTTTGGTAGGGGATGGGGGAGAGACGCTCACCAGGGAACCGCTCTCGCAAGACACGGATTCGGAGGGATGATCAAGTGAGGCATACTCCTTTGCGCTTGGGTGGCAGTCATCTATGCGCTTGGGTATAGGATTGAGGGTGGAGATCGAGGGACCGCGATGACGACAGGCGATTGTGGTAGGTGATAGCGAAGACGGATACTCGTCGAGCAGCACACGCACTGACGCAAGGGTAAGGGTAGAGCGCGATGGCAAGGGACTATCGCGGGGTCGGAACCGCGGCAAGCATTATTATTCGAGTTGGTGTCAGAGTACGTGTCTCCGGTGGCTTGGGTGGACTTAAGAACACAAGAATCATAGAGGGGACGCAACGGTTTATCCTAGTTCGGGCCGATCGTTGCCCTATGTCCAACAGCTGATGATCCTTATACTCAAGAGGACCCAAAATCGAGGGTTACAATAGAGTGTAGAGAGATTTGGTAGGGGGTTAGCTCGGTGCTAATCCTAAGGTTGCCTCGCCGTCGGTGGAGTCTTCCCCTCGTCGGAGAGGAGGAGGACGATGGATGCAGCGAAGGAGCTCTCGGTGCCCCTCTCTAGGTTGCCCCTGCCCTCGATGCTGAGCAGGAGCGGATCGAATGAGGAATGGAATATGATCTGTCTGGGATCCCCCTCCCCCTAAAGTCCGACCTTATCCCTTATATGTCGAGATAGGTCGGGTACATGGCGGTTTGGGGAGAAGTGTCTACGGTCTACATGCACCAGAGTCCATGAGGGCCTTGCAGCGGTGCTCTGTGGACCGTGGCGGTGTCGTGGAGCCGAAGAAGCCTCGGGCGTCGTCCGGCTGCTCTGTTCTGACACTCTGCGTGTCACGCTGTGTCGGCTTGGACCGGCCTCCCCTAGGTGGACCTTCTAGGGTCTTCTTGGTGGCGAAGGAGGTCAGCTCTAGGGGCTGACGTGCGGGCCCGAGAGCCTCCCAGCCCCTGGAGGCCGAGGGAACTTGTCTTCTTGTGTCACACCCGTTCGTGACCCTATCACGGGAGCGGCTGGCAAGATCACGCCCGGAGTGCAGCGTCTGGGAGCCTCCGAGCCTCAAAGGCCCGGGGCTTGTCTTCTTGCACCCGGCCCTTTTGGCTGGCGTCGTAGGCCGGGCAGGAGCCAAGGGCCGAGCACGGGCGCATCATCGATCGGGAGCCTGTGGCTCAAGCGAGCCCCCGAGCCCTGAGTGGGGGCTACGGCGTGCCCAGGTTCGGTCAGGTCACTTCGGTCGGGAACCATTGATCCCGAGGCTTAACATACCCATATGTTAGGATCTCGTCAGGGACCTTGCTATAGTCCTCCCCGAGCCCCAATAGCAGTGTGTGCATCGAGTGGGACTGTGAGGGCGATGGCGACAACGGAGGCTGCCCAAGTGCTGTGCGTGAGGAGGGTGACTGGCGAAGGCGTGGGCGGGTGTGAGGGTGGCCGTCATGGGATTTGGAGCGAAGATTAGAGCATCTCCATCAGATATCCTATCCAATCTACTATACCTAAAAGGTAGTGTTTTAATAGATGAATAGCTGCAGCAAATCTTCTATCACATCTCCTATACCTATAATTTTTAAGAGATATCTTAAAATAGGCATCATTTCTCCTAAATAAAGGGGACAACTCCCTCTCCCCTGTCCCTATAAAAATATAGGAGACAAGATTTAGGTAATCTAGTGAGACGGTACTCTCCTATATCCTAAATTGATTTAAGCTAGGGTATTCTCTAAAAGCAAACTTATAGCAATATGAGAGATCTGGTGGAGTTGCTCTTCGGGAATGTCGAGGACAGGCGCGCGGGCTAGAGCAACGGCCGATAGGATTTGTGAACGAAATCTGGAGCTTTGTTTCCTCTTCGCCATCTTCGGCAGAGGGTGCATGCGGAAGCCATCGGGTGGCCCTGGTTTCGAGGGATGGAGGTGAATCACCGGGTGGGCAGGTATTGGGGGAGCGAGGGGGGAGTGCCCGATGGAATTTACTCATAAGTGTTTCCTTCTACCGGTTGGACGATTGCCGTACTAGAGGTTATTTTTAGTTGTAGAGATTGTAGAGATATAATTGCTAGGTCTAGCTGATTCGTTCTATATACTATTTTTTCTGTTGGATAAATTTTGAAACTTTTTATGGTACGGAGCGATGTAGTAGTGTGGATGACGCTGCAACTAAACGACAATTGCTGTTGGTAGACAATCGCTGTGGATGACGCTGCAACTCTCCATCGCCACTTCACCCCGCTCCATATAGTTCGCTCCATAGTTCACCACCGCACATCAACCAAGCTTTCGGCCATGGCCACGCCGGCAACGAAGAGCCTGGGAGAGCTCGACAGCGGCGCACGCCCGCATGTCATGTTCATCCCGAGCGCCGGCATGGGCCACCTCCTCCCGTTCTTCCGCTTCATCGCGTCTCTCGCGGGGCACGACGACGACGTCGACATCTCCGTGGTGACCGTTCTTCCCACCGTCTCTGCGGCCGAGGCCGACCACTTCAACAGCCTGTTCGCTGCCCTCCCCCACGTCCGCCGTGTCGACCTCCACCTCCTGCCGTTGAACGCTTCCGAGTTCCCAAGCCATGACCGCGACCCGTTCATTGTCCGATGGGAGGCCCTGCGCCGCTCGGCGCACCTTCTCGGTCCGCTCATCGCTGGCGCCGCCCCGCGCGTCTCGGCCGTCATTACAGACGTGACCCTGACCTCCTACGTCATCCCTATCGCCAAGGAGCTCGGTGTCCCGTGCCACGTCCTCTTCATCTCCTGCGCCACCATGCTCTCGCTCAATGCCTACTTCCCTCTGCACCTCGACAAGAAGAAGAAGGCTGAGCAGCACGAGCAGGGGCTAGCTGGCGGCATCGGCGACGTCGACATTCCCGGCGTGCGTCGCATCCCGTGGTCTTGTCTCCCGCAGCCCCTGCTCGACCTCAACAAACTCTTCACCAAGCAGTTCATCGACAACGGCCGCGAGAACATCAACGCCGACGGCTTTCTGGTCAACACGTTCGACGCCTTGGAGCCGGCGGCGCTCGCCGCCCTAAGAGACGGCAAGGTCGTCCCCGGGTTCCCACCGGTGTACGCCATCGGCCCGCTCAGGTCGCAGCAGCACAGCAACTCAGCTGCTGCTGAGGTCGAGAAGGAAGAAGACTCCTCCCCCGTCGCATGGCTTGACAAGCAGCCAGCGCGGTCAGTGGTGTACGTCGCGTTCGGCAACCGCAGCGCCGTGAGCCATGCACAGATCAGGGAGATCGCCGCCGGGCTGGAGGCGAGCGGCTGCCGGTTCCTTTGGGTGCTCAAGACCACAAAGGTGGACAGGGACGACAGCGCCGAGCTGACGGACGTGCTGGGCGAGGGGTTCCTGGAGCGACTGCAGCTGGGGCAGCACGGCCTCGTGACCAAGGCGTGGGTGGACCAGGAGGCCCTGCTGAAGCACCCGTCCGTGGGGCTGTACCTAAGCCACAGCGGGTGGAACTCGGTGACGGAGGCGGCTGCCGCCGGCGTGCCGCTGCTGGCGTGGCCCCGCGGCGGCGACCACCGCGTGAACGCTATGGTGGCGGTGAGCGGCGGGGTCGGGGTGTGGATGGAGCACTGGAGCTGGGACGGGGAGGACTGGCTGGTGACCGCGGAGGAGATCGGGAAGAAAGTAAGGGAGGTCATGTCCGACGCGGCGGTCAGGGCAAGGGCGACGAGGACCGGCGAGGAAGCGGCCAAGGCCGTCGCAGAGGGTGGCACCAGCTACCGGAGCATGCAGCAGTTTATTTCCACCCTCAAAGCAACCGGACACTCCGATCTGATCCAGCCCTTGCATTGATTCTTCTGTCTGTCCTTGGTGGGGCTCGTGTGTGATGTCCGTTTATTTCCTTTGTGCGTCCTACCGCTCATGGGGCTCTTGTGAAGTTGTGAAGTTGTGATGTCGTTGTCCAGTGCCGGGTTGGGCGGCAACCAAAACAGTTTGGTGCTTACTCGTATGTCGTGCGTTTGGTAGCCTGTGCAATCGCACACCTAGCATCAAGCGTGAAGTTGTATGTTTTCAAAAGTGTGTGATGTAGTAATATTGTATCGTTCTATTTTTACCAACCATTTATACTCTGTCTTCGAGCATCTCCAATAGTTCTAAAAACTAATTAATAAATCAATGGGTTTTTCAAGTGGCTAAAAAAAATTGGGAGCATATTTGTCGGGTTCCTCCAACCATTTTCAAAATCTCATTCCTAAAATATAAAAGACATTTTAGATCGGGAGTTCCGGGCTATTTTCAGATCACCCCAACCACTTTTATACTTTCTCTATTTCTTACACATTTGTATTCGGAACTCTGCCTTACTCCTCGTATTCTTCCCCACGCCCTTCCATCTCAAGATTGGCCGATCGATATAAGCGTGTATTTCCGTGTGATTGATCGATTACCCCAAGTGCGGAAAGATTAGGAGTTTAGATAGGAGTTATTGGAGAGCGATTTCTTTCAATCTTGCCAAAGAAATCAAGATTCGGGTGGGGTTTGAAAACTCTTGGAGATGCCCTTACCACACCTCTTCCTTTTTCAATAATCGCTCATACTCCTGGATGGCATAATTTCAACAGCCACTATGGTACCAACTTCTTAATTAAGAGTAGCTCAAGTAATAAGACCTCTAAACAAGCCCCTAAACTAAATTTTATAGGTCTAACTAAAAATCCTTGTTCTATAAGGATTCGTATTCATGCCATTTAAGTAGGGAGGCCCTCAAATTGAGCTATGGTGAAAGTTTAATCTATGTCCCTCGTGACTAACGTGTGGTGCTACGTGATTCGCTCCGGGAAGTAAATGTGACAGTTTCAAAAGTTGAAGAAGTATAAAAAAATTAGTTTCCCCATTGTGATAAGCAAATTGGGTTTTCAAAATAGTTTTTTTTTGCGACAAGGTTTACAAAATAGTTGATGGGTTCTCAAAATAGTTGAGTGAGGTTAGATGGACTTTTTTTCAATAATAATAAACAACTTACTCATTTGGGCCTACAGCAACCGACCATTTTGGGCCTCAAGGGCTAGAAGCAATCCCTGACCAAGGGCCCACGTGGCCTGTTCGGAAGCCATGGCTCAAGGCGACCCCACGTGTCAGTGTGACTCCTCCAGAGACCGGCGCCCCACCGGCACCGGGTCATCGCCACAAAAGCGCCCATTTGACGCCGGGACCCCGCATCTCCATTCTCCTCGCGTCCTCGCCCATTCGTTCCGCCTCCCTCCCCGCGCCGCCGCTCGCCGGAGCCCCTCGTCCCCGCCCGCGCCCCGCCGCGCCGCCCCTCTGTAGGTAAGGACTGCTCCGGCCCCTTGCTCCTTTGGTTTCCGCTGTTTCGTCCCCTTCCCAGGCATCTGGGGTCTCCGATCTGGTGATCTTCTCTAGTCTCCGGTAGCTGCAGGCGACTCCTGGGTCTGGTATTGGCCTCTTGGGGCTGTGGGAATCGGGCGGCTAGATCTGTGCGAATCCGATCGATTGCAGCGCGGCGTGGCCATCCGGACTTCACCTCGCGTGCTTCTCCGGAGGCGTCGTCGTCGTCCCTCTGGATTTCACTGGGCTGGAGAGATCCGTCCATCCCACCTTGAGTCGATTTATGTTTGTTTCCTTTTGTTGCTCGTGTAGGCAAACGGACGGAAATTCGGGTGGAGAGAAATTTGTTCTTTATTAATCTTAGCTATTACTTACTGTAGCAAATTTGACCATGTGTTTTTTCTTCTAAAAAAATCTTAGATACTTCAATGTATATAACACTATGTATATAACACTAATGAAGTATGTTCAATAAAGAATCATATATGTGAAAACTTGATGTATATAAAAATCTTTTGCAGAAAAAAACTTATGGTCAAAATTGCTGCAGTAAAAATTCGGTGACAAGTAAACGAAAACGGAGGTAGTAGCTGTTAGCTTGGTATAGATATAGATGTTTGTCGTGGTTTGAATTGTACCGTGCACATTACACATGACACTGTCACTGTAAGTCTGGTGAGATTCGTATTGACGCATGTTTTGCGAAGAAAAAAAAATTGGGTGTAATGTTAATGTGGCCGGATAAGTATATGGAGGTCACTGTAAGTCTGGTGAGATTCATATTAACAGTGTCACTTTTTAAGTCTGGTGACATTCTTATTTACACTTGTTTCATTGAAGTTTTTATGTTCATCATTGATGGTTTGAATTGTTCCCATGCATATGACCCTGTTACTGTAAGTACTGAAATACTAATAGTAACACATGTTTCATGAAAATAGATGCTGGATATAATGATAACATAACACTTGTTTCATGAAGATAGATGCTGGATATAATGATAACATAACCTGCTAAGGATTGGGATTCACTCGCTTGTTGCTGAAAAAACTGCGAACCTTTCTGTTATCAAGGAAATGTTACGCCTTTCCTTGGCTTTTGTGTTACGTGTTTGCTGAACTATATGTTCTGTTTATTTGTGTTATCTGTGAGGAACAATCTATAGACTTGTCTTGTCTACAATTCATCTACACATGTGAATCATTTATTCATAATTCATTGTTTACCAGACCTGATAATTGTACTTCAATCCATTTGCAGCGAAAATGACGGCTGGCTACATTGTTGGCTCACTGGTCGGATCCTTTGCCATTGCATACCTGTGTGACACATTTGTTTCTGACAAGAAGGCTTTTGGAGGTTAGTGTCATCCCTACTGGATTTATGTTGGAGATCTGTGTCTCAATCCTTGTAGATTTGGATTTAAGCTGCTTCATTCTTTGTGGGCACACAGGTTCCACCCCCAAGACTGTCTCTGAGAAGGAGTGGTGGCAGGCCACAGACACCAAGTTCCAGGCCTGGCCTCGCACTGCTGGGCCACCGGTTGTCATGAACCCCATCAGCCGCCAGAACTTCATCGTCAAGTCCACTGAGTAGCTTAGGCTGGAGAGCGACTTGTTGCCACCATGAAGCCAAAGTTCCTTTTCTAGGTCTTAATTGATTGTAATAAAATGAACTACAGTCAGGATTTTTGGTGATTTTTTACTCCATCTGTGAGCAAACACGGGGGCTTTCAGCTTACTTGTGAATTGTGATTCAATGGGTTCGGTTCCTTGGTGAAATTTCCCGCCACGCAGTAAAGAATTGCAACACTTTCTATAATATATGCTTTTGCTATTTTGCTATGCAGCCTCTGCTTTTATAAGGAGTTGCATTGTGTAAAATAAAAAATGAGCACGATCATCGTGAACCATTTTCAGACTTAAAAGTAGCACACCTAATTTAATGACACACTCGTCCATGACTTGACACAACCGAACACAAATCCTCCTACATGGTTACCCCCCGTCCAACCACACATCCTTATTCATTGGACAATACATAAGATGAAGAAAAGGCAACTAATTTCGTTACAGCACTCTGTTGCTGCTGTTCCATTCACTGACTTCATGCTTCCTTAGCCCAGCAGCTCATCAATGGCACCATATCTTCACCACTCCTCATCAGACTCAGGCTCCTGGTCATTGCCACCTTCAAACACAAAATCAAACAATAGCCCATAAATTCCTAGTGAATGATGATCTATGCACCGCTTGAAAGCTGAAAGACACTGCATATCAATCTGCCTTTTAACTAAAACGTAAAGAATGCAAATACAAGAAACATGTTAACTAGATTAGATCTAATCAAAACAAGAAATGAGACATGCTTGTACTCATGATCAAATCGGTGCTCCTTACAGACAGTTCATCGATAACAATTTGTAGAGAAAATAGATTGAGCGAATAAGATTAGTTGAGAAAATTTACATGTTCGGCCCGTTCGCTTCGCTGAAAAAAAAACCGAAACACTGTTCCGGCTGATTTGTTTTGAGAGAAAAACATTGTTCCGGCTTAAAAAAACAAGCTGAAAAGTACGGATTATAAGACAAGCGAACAGGAGGAAGTAAATTCTGTATGTGTATGGAGCAGAACATGTAGTCCAGCAAACACGTAAATGGCCAACACAAAAGCCAAGGAGAGGCGTAACATTTCCTTGATAACAGAAAAGTTCGCAGTTTTTTCAGCAACAAACGAGTGAATCCCAATCCTTAGCAGGTTATGTTATCATTATATCCAGCATCTATCTTCATGAAACAAGTGTTAAGGTTATGTTATCATTATATCCAGCATCTATCTTCATGAAACATGTGTTACTATTAGTATTTCAGTACTTACAGTAACAGGGTCATATGCATGGGAACAATTCAACCATCAATGATGAACATAAAAACTTCAATGAAACAAGTGTAAATAAGAGTGTCACCGGACTTAAAAAGTGACACTGTTAATATGAATCTCACCATGATTAGGTGCATGGACAGTAACGTTGACACAATTTACCATCTATAATTAATAATTTTGCTGGTTATTTCTTTTTTACCTTTAGTTAATCATTTTACTTTCCTTAAAATTAAGGGCTCAGATTTATTTGACCTCTAACTAAAACGAAAAGCGAATGTGATGATCGTACCGATTTCCTTCGGCGGCATCACCCACGCGCGGACGGAGGCAGTAGTGGCGTTGTCGCCGAGTTCGTGGCTCTCCCGCTCACCCATCATCTTCACGGCGCGTCCATCGACCCAGAAAATGTAATTCTGTCCGTACTGGTCCAGGAAGAAGTAGAGGAGGTCGGGGTTTACCGGACTCATGAGAGCAAAGACAGGGTCTCTGTAATGTAGCAATGTCTGTTCGTACTCCGGCGTCCTCCAGATATCGATGAACCGGAAGCGGTAGTCGACGTCCGTCCACACCCCCTGCAAGGGGTCCGCGAGGGTGCGGACGGTGACCACCCCCGATTTTCCGGCGCGCTGGTGGATGTCGATGCACCGAAACCTCCCTTGGCTGAGCTTCACGTAACGGAGTACGGCGGTGGCGCCGAGCTCCTCGCCGACATCCGGGAGGAGGATGTGAGACACCTCCTTCTCCTCGCTGAAGAGATTCCAGCACAGGAGGCCCTGCGAGTTGTCGACCCACCACAACTTCCCGTCGTGGGGGACGACTATAAGGAGAAATTACTTGGAAAAGGAAGAAGAGGAGGAACAAAGTAGCGAACGTCCCGATGGCCGGATTACTTAGAAGCAGAGTTTAGTTTTCTGTCTATCATCCATACTCTCTCCTCTCTCTCCTCGCTCCTACTTAATACATGGACTAGACTTGCCATATTGGGCCAACGATTCTTATACTGGGCCCACGCAGTCTCTTGGGCCGGACAGCCAGAGCAGCTTCCTCTTCAGCTCCAGGCGCGACGTCTTCACCTGTCACGGGCACAGGCATGGACAGGCTGCTAACATTCCCCCCATCTTCAGAACCAGCATGTCCCCATACTGGTGCTCGTGGGAACTGTTGGCGAAGTTGCTCGAGCAGCTCCCAAGTAGACAGCTCCGGAGGTGAATGAGACCACTAGATAAGGCCTTGCGCCACAGGCCGAGCCCCGGATGTCCAGCGGCGTTGCAGCACCCGAAGCGAAAACAGAAACTGCTGCAAGTCAGAAGGTAGTGATGGCGATACCTACTGATTGCCAGGAGAAGAACGCAGCTGCGAGACGTGAAAGACCAGCTGGACAGCAGCGCCTGGTGGAAGTAGCAGCTTGTATGCAACTGGACCAATCTTTTGAATGACTTGAAATGGCCCAAAGAACTTGAAAGACAATTTGTTGTTGGAGCGGTGGAACAGTGATGACTGAATATAGGGTTGGAGCTTCAAGAACACCATGTCGCCCACTGAGAATTGACGCTCAGAACGGCTTTCATCAGCTTGGCGTTTCATGCGAGCCTAGGCACGGAGCAAGTGTTGCTTGACAACATTATGCATGAGCTCTCGATCAGCCATCCATTTGTGAAGTTCAGGCACTGAAGCCACCTCATCCAAGTTCACCGACAACAGGCGTGGAGGAAAACCATATAAGACCTCAAAGGGGGAACGACCCAACGCTGAATGTGTAGATGTATTATACCATAATTCAACGAGTAGCAGCCAACGACTCCACTGAGCTGGGCAAGTGTGCACAAAGCAACGAAGAAATATCTCGACGCACTGGTTGACACGTTCGGTCTGACCGTCCGTCTGTGGATGGTAGGCGGAGCTAAACTGAAGCTCGGAGCCTGCTGTCTTGAACAGAGATTTCCAAAAGTTGCTGGTAAATATGTGGTCGCAGTCGAAGACAATAGCTCGAGGAAGACCGTGAAGGCGATACACCTGGTCCAGGAAAATCTTGGCAACAGATGCTGCTGTAAAAGGATGACGCAGTGGAATGAAGTGTGAAAACTTGGACAACTTATCCACCACTACTAAGATTGCATTGAACGAGCTAGACTGTGGCAGCCCTTCGATAAAATCCATCGAGACAACTTCCCAAGAAGCATACGGTACTGGAAGTGGCTGCAAGAGTCCTGGATAACGGGATCGGTCCGACTTGGCTTGCAAACACACAGCACATGACTGAACATAAGCCCAAATATCAGATTTTATACCAGGCTAGAAGAACAAGGCTTTAATCTTACTGTATGTCGCTGGTGCTCCTGAGTGGCCACCTAATGGACAGCTATGTAGTGCTGTCATAATTTTAAGCTGCATGGACTTATTAGAACCCAGCCACAGACGGTTCTTGTATCTAATGACTCCTTGGATTAAAGAAAATGGAGGGCGGCTATCGGGGCTGGCAGTCAGCTGAGACAACAGATCCATAGCAGCTTGGTCAGAATAGTATCCTTAGACAACTTCATCGAGCCAATTGTGGGAGACTAAAGATATAGCATAGCTCATGGTTGGGTGCACTCGGCGAGAAAGGGTGTCTGCAGCACCATTTTCAGAGCCTTTCTTGTATAGAATCTTATACTGTAACCCAAGCAATTTGGAGAATACTTTCTGTTGCCATGCAGTATGTAGCCACTGTTCATTTAGATGGACTAAGCTGCGATGATCAGTGTGAATAAAGAACTCGCCTTGAAGCAAGTAGTGACGCCACTGTTCGACAGCCATCAATAGAGCGATATATTCCTTCTCGTAGACTAACAACCCTTGATTCCTGGGACTTAAAGCTTTGCTAATGAATGCTATGGGGTGCCCATTCTGCTATAAGACTGCTCCAATTCCTGACCCGGAAGCATCAGTTTCAATGTGGAAGGGTAAGCTAAAATCCTGCAACGCCAATATGGGGGCAGTACAGAGAGCTTGTTTCAGCACAGAGAAGGCAGACTCATGGTTTGAGGTCCATATGAACAACTGATCTTTCTCCAGGAGATCTGTTAGAGGCTTGGCAATGATGCTAAAATGACGTACAAATTTCCTGTAATAGCCGACAAGGCCTAGGAAACCTCGGAGCTCCCGTACTGAAGATGGAACGGGCCATTCGAGCACTGCTTGCACCTTGGCTGGGTTAGTGGAAAGGCCTTGGATGTTGATGATATGACCCAAGTAGGAGATGGACTCCCTAGGGAAGGTACATTTCGAGAGCTTGAGCTTCCACTGATCGGCGCGTAACCACTGAAAAACTTGCCGCAGATGGTCGACATGGGCTTAAAAGGTGGGGCTGTAGACAAGAATATCATCGAAGAAAACCAACACGAAGCTACGTAAACCCAGAGCCAAAGTACCATTCATTGCACCCTGAAATGTGCCTGGTGCGCCAGTAAGGCCGAACGCCATCACTCTGAACTCGTACTGACCCAGGTGAGTCTGGAAAGCGGTCTTGAATTCTTCACCTTGCTGCAACAGTGTTTGGTGAAAACGCGCTCGAAGATCTAATGTTGTGAACCACTTAGCGTTTGCTAGCTCATCCATCAACTGGTCAAACACCGGCACAGGAAACTTAGACTTCCTTGTCACAGCATTGAGGTGTCTGAAGTCAACACATAACTGGTAGGAGCCATCTTTCTTTTTGACAAGCAGTACCGGTGA